CCGCCGCAAACAAACACTTACACGCGCTCATCAGATACGATGGCGGTAGTGGCGGGAGGATGAGCATTACCGTTAATGGACAGCGACTCAATTATATGGGGAAGAATGGCAGTCGCCTGCAGCTGGAAGGAAGGGGGCGGTCACAGTAACCTTTTTGGCATCTTGGCGGCTAAGAAAATAAGAAAATGACAAGGTCTGACGCCTTCTGAGTGAATCACATCTGTGACATTTGGTCCTTCGAGAGGTTTTCACATGTGGTCCGCGTGGCAAGCAGCGCCCACGCAACGGCAACTCGACAACCATTGACGGCTCGGGGAAGAGTAGTTCAAGGTTGCCTCAAGACTGGTTTGTTTTTGTTTCAGGAGTTTGTGTTGAATGAGCTCTGAACCCATGACTTATCTGCCAACTAATGCGAGCTTCCAAATACCACCTAGCACATTGCTGTCTCAATTATAATCTTCTTCGACGTCAAGTCTAAAAATAAAAACCTTCTCCAAAAACCCCCTCCAAGTTAAATCGCTGCAATGTTCCTTCAAGATGACATCAAATCTGACAAAACAGCCCCACCCCCTCTCCATCAACACCTTTGTCTTCCCCTGAACGCATTTCAGAGGCTCAGCTGGAGAAGTCGATGACTTATTTTAACCAGGTCTCGATCGGATCAGGCCTCTCGGCATCTGGTGGGGAGAAGATAAGACCTGTTATCTCTTTCCGACAACCCCGCAACCTCTCTCCGTCCTCCCGACGACTGGTCCAGAGAGAGGAGGGAAAAGGAGGGCAGGAGATAAATGACATAAATACATTACCCTAAATACAATTAGCTGTTGTGTAGATTAACTATACAGATGTATTCTGTATATATGAACTGTACATACAGTGCGAGAGAAATTGAAAGGAAATTGTAAAACCGGTAAAATAAGCTTTTTTTTGTGAACATCCTTACTTGTATGCGATAAATATACACATGCAGCAGTAAATAAAGCGCTGGACTGATAATTGCTCATCTTAACACAGGCACTTTATTGTTGTACATATGCAATTATGGTACATCTGGCAGCGCTGGTACGAGGAATCTTTGGCTGGCAGCTCGCAATTGTAACAGCCCTTCTGGGACTGAGCAGCACCAAGTCACCAAAACACCAAATTGATCAACAGTTTACCGAGAAGAGGAGAAACACGTGGACGGGAATGAATGCAGACAATTTTTCATTTAAATCTTGAAAATAAGAAACTTTAAAATATTATGTATATATTAGTTTGGAGTCAAACTAGTTTTAGCTAATCATCAAAAGAGTACTGTTATATTATTTATTTTGACATCGGGGAATAGAACTTTAGAACTGAAGGCATCATAAAAAACTGATGAATCCTCTGCCAGATTAAAGTTGCCCTCATTAGGGTTCTTCTCATGGCAGAGACATAATTGCCATGAAGTTGTAGTGATAGTTTGAAGGTCAGATTTACGACTAAGGTGACCTTCAGCAAGACCTCTGAGCGCCTCACTGGAGCGCAGCAATTTCATGGCGCTGGAGCAGCGGCTGGTGGATGAAACTGTTTGGACACGACGGTCAAAAGAAGCAAAGCGAAAAGATGGGTTGACACGTCAGCAGCAGAGAGAAGTATCGCGCATGTCAACATTTTGATAGAAAGTCAACACGTTCAAGTTAGAGATGGAAGTTAATTTTAAGAAGAGGTCATTTGAAGTTAATTTAGCTGTTTATTTTAATACTCGCATCTTTAGAGCTCTTTTGAGTTCACCAAATGTCATATTTGAAGACAAAGCAATAATGAAATTTGTGTCTTAAAGTAATCAACCGGTGAATATTCATGGGGAAATCTAGGAGTTACATTTTATAACCTATTCACCTGTTTTGTCTGTATAAAAATTGTACCCATTAGTTGTTTTACTTTATTTATTATTTTACCTTATTCCCCTGCAGTTTCCCCCTGGAGCTTCAACTAAAAACCGAAATGAGAGACATCACAGTGGTGTGTCTTAGAACAATATTATTTCTTTCTTCTGGCTGTTTTTGAAGACGCCTAAAATTAGCACTCTTTTCCAGTTCTGTCTAATTTACTGTTTAGCCATCAGCTATTCCCACAGGAAAAGTCTTAACGAGTGTTTAATTACTGACAATGATGCATTGGGGGAGCAAAATCGACTCCGTGGGTCGGACACGCGAGATCGGACGCAGCGATGTCTCTCACCATTTGTCGCTCCTCGTCTCATGTTGCTGCACGTTACACTCAACACTTCTTTACATTTTCTTCCCTGTTTACGGATGGTCCCGCGTGCAAAGCCTCAGCGGTGCTGTTTGGCTCAATTAGTGAACCAACTAGCTGTGCTCGGCTCCACAATACAACCTAATTGCTCATTTGGCATTTTGTGTCTCTTTTCAGATTGGCAAAATACCAGAATGTGTAATCAGGGGGAGGGCAGTCAATGAGGCAAGGCAAATAAGTCAGCGCTGCAGACCGTCATTACCGTGTGGGTGATTGTCTGATGCCGCAGAGGTTTATTTCCTCCCGTCTGGTCTCTGAAGACGGAGGAGAGTGCAACTTTGAGCTGAGAGAGATGTGCATCTGATGACTCTGTCTCTGCTCCCTGTTTTTGACATTCAAGGCGTCGCCGCCGCCGATTGATGTAAATCACAACTAGCTGGGGAAGATTCATCAAGTACCGATACAGCGCAAAAAAGCACTGTCTTCAAAGTCATGTCCTTAGATATTAAGTGAATTATAGGCAATGAAAAGTCCAAACGCTGCTCTGCACAAACCATTTTTTTCCCCTTTAGTGACAAACAACAGTTTTTCTTTTGTCAATGTTTGTGATGGCACTGAACCTGTGACATCTTGATTCATTTGACAGTCTTTTTGGATTACTCGACCAAGCTGCTGCCTCTGCTGCGATGCCTATCTACAAATGAGCTGCTGACTAGACGAGACAAAGACAATAATAGCCTATTGAGCTCCGGAGGGCCGTCTTTACTGCAGCAACAACCGGGCCGTCCGGACAACAGTTTGCTGGTTTGTTAGCAGCCACGTCATTTCTTTCGATGACACGACACAGAGATGAGGCTGAGCAGTGACTCAGCATTCATAGGATGCTCTCGATCTAACTAAACTGCAAGGGTCTCTGTCTGTCCGTCGTGTTTAATGTGGAACCATTATGTACCCACCGAGTCTATCAGGAGGAGATACCTATTAAGTGTAACTGGCGAACGCCACGCTGGGAGCTGCTCAATCTCTGTCGCTCGCTACGATATTAACTCTCGTCATATACAAGATGAGTCTGTGTCTCTCTCTCATGTTTAATATTGATGGATTATATCCCCTAAAGTGAAGTCGATTGAGAGGAGGTCCCTATTGTTAACACACACCTGTGCAGACTGGGAGGGCGATTGATGCCCCCCCCCCATCACTGGGCAGTCATTGTACTAACCCTAACCCTAGCAATGTCCTGGCTCCAGCTTCAAAAAAACAGACTGATGCGAGAGTTGTATTAAACTTCTGGTTGAACTCTTGATAAATAGACGAGTATACCATCCTTAACGTCAAACTTAGAGAGGCAGAGGCAGAACCTCCTGCAGCCTTTGTTGATCGTCATGAGGAATGACTACTTGCGTGTTTTACATGCAGCGTTTTCATCCCGCATTGTGATGCATTGCGAAAGTAAAGTAACTGGAAGCAGAGAGACGCAGAGCGCATGCTGCAGATAATGAGGCCCAGACAGATGCATAATGACAACTTCTCGAGGTTCTTTTGTTGCCAGGGTGGATTTTGGTTGGAGCGCAGAATTGACAGTAATACAGTCCTGCCACAGCCTGACGAGAGGTTGGAGGACGTCTGGCTGTCACTCCCACAACGCGGCGGGGGAGTGACAGCCAGACGTCCTACCAACCTCTCCTCAAGAGAACGCTGCACATAAATGCACATTCGCTTTGCTATTCACAAGGTCGTAACAGCACCCTGAGTTGTATGAAGGTACAAAGAAAAATCAGTTTGAAGGCCCCTGCTGAATCAGGTCTAAAGCGCTCATTACGAGAACGGCTTTCCCTCCACGTCTCTCTCTACGCCAGCGGACAGCGGCGCTAACAGTGCAAACCAAGGAAACGGTGCTGACACGGCCCACGCGGTCGACCTGGGGGGAAAACTGGAGGTTGGGTACTTACCTCTTGGCAGTGACCCTGTCGGTCGTCAAGGTGTTTCGGGCGATAACCGCTGTAAGAGCACGGAGCGGCGCCGAGCAGCGGGGAATGTATCAACATTACAGGCATGAGCAGGTTCTGAGAATACAACCTACACAGTGGCAGAAAGACGTCCTTCTCTGGCCAACATTCTCACAGAGCAAATGAGTTGTTTGCTGCTGTGTTAATACTCTTGGGCTTCCGGCTGTAAACCAGGGAGTTAATGTCAATCCACGTCATGACCAGTTAGGGAATAATATTTGGAGAAGATATAGTTGATAAGCTGTAATTATTCCTTTAGAGAGGTTGACGAAATGTTTTATATTCTATTGTTGTCCCCATTCACATTGTTTTGCTTATTGCTACTTTAGTTGGATGTTTGAGCTGGACTGCTGCACAGAAAGCTCCTCAGAATGAATTTGAGACTTAAATTGGACTTTCCAGTATTTTTCGGAGACAGTCACGTGTCCAGCAATTAAACTATTTACATAATTGTATTAAAAGTCTTCAATGTCTCAACCCAAGAAGCCTCACCCCCCCACCCAACATTGCATAATGACTGAAAGATGGATGCCTTCCTTCATGTCTGCCATCTCCCTCTATTTTAATCCTTTTGTCCCTCTTGCCTCCCTCTTTTTCTCCTCCTTCCAACTTGAGCCACTTACTTTTGTTCCCATCGCAACTTCTGCATGCCTCTCCTCACCTCTCTCCCTGCTCCGTCCGTGCTTCTCCTCCCTCCGTATAACATCCCTCCCTCTCTTTCTCTCTCTGCGATGAAAGGGGGAGTTTAGAAAGGGAGCGAGAATCAGAGGAGGAGGTTGAAGGGGAGGGGTGGGTCCCTATAAGAGCAGCTGCCTCCAGCCTCCACGTAGCCAGAGAAACCACGCCGAGACTGAGGGAAGGAAACGTATACGCTGACGAACCTCAAGACCCCTACAGGCACCCACAACCTCCCCCCGACACAGGTAAGGGGGAACCGTGGAGAAAGTGGGAGAGGGAGAGTGTAAAGAATAGGCTTGACCTCTGACCTTTGATACAGAACCTTTAGCGCTTTGCATGTTTGACGTAAAAGCTGAGAGAATCTGTTACGCTGACATATTGACAGGCAGGATTTTATTGTAAATACATTTTTTTATCAGTTGCTTTTATGTTGTGGTGATTTGGAAGATTTGAGTGGCTGCAATTTGAATTAAAATGAATAACTGGACTCACAGGAAAGCAATTGACAGGTTTCATTTCATCCAGTTTGACTTCTTTTTCTCTGGACTTTCACTCCATCACTTTGTCTCTCCTCCACTCCTGTTGAGTCCCCGGGTAACTGTCACCACCGAACCCTTGAGTTCCTTGAGTTCCTTGAGGCTGGACCCTTGTAATGTGAAAAGCATAAGACATAAGGGATGCAAATGCCGCGGAGGGCAGGAGGTGCACAGGCGCTCCACCTGAGGACCGCACATCCAGTTGGTTCCGTCAAGTGGGGAAAGGTCATAAATGGTACGTTGCCATTAGTCGTTAATCGTTAGGGGCTGTTTTATTGTCTCTGCTGGCGTTCGTGAAGTCTTTGCAGAAAGCTGCAGGTTGGTGTTTACGCCGTGGCCTTTGGACACAGAGCAATGGGGATCTGGGTGAGTGCACGTTGATTAGTCCGGGTCACATTTATACCAGCTCTCTTCGTTAGAGGGTTATTTTTAGGTTTTCAAAGGCAGCCCAATCAATGGATTGATAGTAATACATATTCTAAATGTAACTTAAGGTTTAATTAATATCCCAAAAATAAGTGAAATAATTCAGTAAGTGGTGGGTACCGAAAGATTGATTCCCCTTTTTGTAAAAAAATGTTCTGTTGCTATATGAAATCGATACCTATTAGTTAATTGAGAGTTCCATTGAGAATAAATATGGAATCTCTCAGGAAGCTCAATAAATGGAGGGCAGTTAAAGGTTAAAGACAGTAATATAAATTGATTTTTATTGATCCCATATGAATCATCTGGTTCACATCAGGCCCCGTTATCCTTGAATGAGTTCAAATCCATCTAAGAACAATGTCTTCAATCACATTGTCATTAAACCATTAGATGAATTGCTTCTCTTTAACCATTTGTTATTGAGGTTATGGAAGGATCATTAGTCTTATTGTTATTAGTGGTAAAAGTACCGTTTCTATTTCGGTAGTTTTACCAATATTATTTGTCTTATGCCTTTCGGCATTTACGCACAAAACCTGTTATCATTAAGTGTTTCTTTGAGTTGTCAAGAATCGATTATAAAAATGATCATCTTTAAGATTGGATGTCATTTTTCTTACTTTGATTAATTGACATAGCTGTTATTTAGCCCGGGGCTCATTTTTTTCATTGACCTTGGACCAATAATCTCTGAAGAAATGTGCTTTTCAAAGTCAGTTTCCTTGCGTCAGCTTTTACCTTTAATAAGCTATTTTAACAACCACTGATGATAACAGATCTGAAAGTGGCCGTAACTGGTTCTAATTATCTGAGCGAAGAGAAGCTTTTTGCTGCTTATCAGAAAGAGGCCGATAGATCTACGGATACTGTGGCGCTTCGGCTGAAAACACGCTCTTCTAAACTGATTCAGGGAAAACTAGATGCTGCGCTCTCATACCTTAGGGCAGATAATCAAGGCTGTGAAATGCATTTATTTTCTGATTAGTTTTGTATTGTTTTCTGGCATGTCTGAATTGGCCGGATGGAATAGAATCCAGAGTTAATAAACAAACTGAATGAAGTGATGGAGAGCTGGTAGTCAGAGAGTGAGACACACTGCATGAACAGAGAGACAAATAGAAAGTTCACTGGGAAGCAAGAATAAAGACAAATCCATAGAGCACACGGCATTAATTAACCTTAAGCTTACCCCCCAAAAACACACGGACTGAACAATTGATTAAGACCGCTTTACTGAATCACAGCCCCTTTCCCACAGCCACGTGTTCCATCCCTCAGTAAATCGGCTGGTTACTTCAACAACACGGCACACTTAAATGAACCTCAGGACACCATTCGCTCTGGAGGGCTGGACGGGGAAAGAGGAAATGGTGTGAAGGGAGCAGGATCACAGGTCATTGTGCGGCTGTGTATTTATCTGGTAGCTGCACATGCCTGCGTGAGTGTGGAGCTAATCAAAGGATGCAATGTTCTTAACACGGCAGGGCCTCCGTCCATCCTTTTGTGTGGGGAGGATTTCATCCTTGCTGCTGCTCTTCCCCCTGCATGTTGGTCAACGGGGAAATGTTCTCTCCTTTCAATGAAAAAAATGTTTTTCTGTTGTTGAGGACGGAAGGAATTGCAATGTAATAGTAATAATACGTTTTCTTTAATGTAAGTCTTCTTGAGAATTAGACACTTGTATCTACATTGGAAGCAGGTTCTCTTCACAGTCATGTAATCCCAGAACGATGCAAATATCACAGGCGACGAGTCGCAGCTAGTGAGCTCATGGAAAGAGAAACTGCCACTAATAAGCAGGTTGTTCATGAGAAATGCAGATTACCCAAGTTCTAATTCCAAACCAGAGACATCAGGAAATTCTGATGGCAAAAACGTCTCCTGCTTGTTGAAAAGAACAACAAGAGGTGTCAAGAAATGAACAACCACCCATTAAAATGGCTGCAAAGCCCTCATCGCTTACAACTAATCCTAACAAATGGATTGTAAAGAAAAATACAATTAACTCAAGTAATTAAAAATAAGTCTTGACAAATGGAGAAAAAAAGAAAATTACAATTAAAGGGCATCACCTCATCTCACGCCATAAACCCAAACCAAATCAATGTGAAATGGGTTTGAATGCGATTGTTTACGTGTGTGTGTGTGTGTGTGCACACCTCCAAACCATTAATCGACAATAAGTGATTAGGTGCATTGAGAAAGGAAATTGATTTCGCTTAGCGCGTCTGCCTGTAATGGCTTCGGCATGTAATCTACTGCCACGTCACACACGGCGTGACCCACAGGAAACGTCTTGCAAAAGGTTCCTTCTAAAGGTCTCTTCTGGCTGGAGATATGTCAAAACGCCCACTATGGAAGCAGACACCACCTCCAACAGGAAACACAACCGCCGTGCAGATGTCTAGGCTTTCTTACACTAAATCTGTACAATACACTGATCATTTACACTTAAGATTAATCCAGAAACAGGTTCAATTATGAGTGTGAAATGTCCTCTAACTTAATGCTAGAATTGAGTAACTTATCAGCAACGTTTTGGGACACAAATAGCACAAACTTTTATGCCAATAGTTTTTGCTTTTATGTTTTTGAGTGGGTGAGAACGAGACTTAATGCAAACGTTAGAGGACGATGTAGGTATTGACGGATAAATCCACACGTAGAGACTGTATGTAGGCCACGACCGAAACGATTAATACATAGATTAGAGATGTTGAATCAAACTGATTCGTAACATAGATCTATTGTCCTGAAATGTGTCACAGCAATGGCCACCATGCCAATATGCCAGATACTGTACCTATCAATATTGGAACAAGGAGCACGATGTATCTTGAGTGGGCCTGAGACAAGCTGTCCATCAAAGTGACTTTTCTGACAGTTAAAGTAGTCAGACTTCTGGCTCCAGGCAGAAGAATAAGTAACACTTAATTACCTGTCAAAGTGACTCATCAACCAAACAAAGCCAACAACACAAATACACTTTAATTGTTATCTCCACCAGGAGGATCATGCGATCGGCTGAGTGGTTGATTGTGTGTGTGTGTGTGTTTGTATGCGTGTGTCTGTCCACTGCTCGTCTTCCATTCTGCAGCAGCAAACTACATCATATTGTGAGTGGCCAGTAGTTTTTGGTCGATGGGTTTAGTTAAAATCCGACAACTAACAGAAGCACCAGTTCACAGCCTGCGTGGTACCTCTGGGCCTTTTCTCTGTGCCACATTTCTATTGTCTACAGCTAACGAACGACTGCTGTGCTTCTTATGTCCTGTTTGTCGGGTTCTGTGGTTCTCGCAGTAAACCGGCTGCAAACGTATCTCCCAGTGAGGAAGAACAACAACAATTCAAACTGTTCTTCACTGCAATCACTCTCTCAACATGTTTACTAAGTGGGCGGAAAGCTCAGGGACTTTTGTTTCTGCAAGATTCTATGAAGTATCTTACGCAACTTCTGGCTGATTGACTGCATTCATCGGCACTTTTTTCTTTTGTTTAAATGAAGTGGGTTTTGCGATGCCTTACTGGCCATTGGTGTCTGGACTGAGGTTTAGCCAATTGTGGGTTGGGATCATTCAATCAAACAATACGGCCGTGGTCGTTGCAGACCCATTTTAGGATATTAATGAGAACAACTTAAAATGATGGTTCTCTCTAAAGATGGAAGTTTAGTCAGTTTCAGCTAAAGCTTTTCAAATTAAAGCTGCAGTTAATCAAGAACGTTTGTTGTTGTGTTTTTAATTAAAATTAATAATGATATCACTTACTATTCAAGCGCTCAGATGCATTCTGGCTTTTTTTATGTGAAAGGAAAAATAAACACATCAATATAGAGTGTGTTTGAACTACACTTCACCTTTAGATTAGATTAAAATGGAGTCAATTGAAAGGCCTTGACATCATTTAATGCAAATGCCATACGGCGTTAGGCGGAACTCCACTAGACAAAGGCAACGTCTGTGTTTATGTTGTTTACATGTACAGCATGTCCTCATGACCGGTAACAACATTATATAGAAAGAACTTGCAAAAAATGGTTGACATGGTTTACTGACATGAATGTCAATATAATAATAATGTTACTACGTTTAAGTTTGGTAAAACTCTGCACTCCGGCTTTTGAAAATAAAGAGGAGCTGCAGGAGAAGTGCACACTGCTCCTCCGTTCAACCACGCGTAAATAATCCGGCTTTAAGTCGCTCTTCAGGGTGAGAGTAATTTATTTTGTACTTCCTGTTCTTGATGAGAAAATGGTAATAATGTAGAAATACAATGGTGGAAACGCTTGACAACACAGACAGTTGAGAGCTGTCGGACGACAAAGACCATGAATCATACTTGAACCTACGCGTGAATCTTCCTGTAATTCTAACAGTACTTATTCACGGTTGAGGACATTTTCCATTTAACCAGGGAAACCTTATTGACTTTACATAAAGCTACACGTATCCCAGCTTTCCAAGGTGACATATGTGTGTCATTTGATCAGTGTGAATAATAGTTATATTATTCTATTATATTATTAGTAATAGATAATGACACAACATAACATAATGCAAAATGCCATAGCTGCTTCTTCAGTAGCGTTGAATTGCAACGTGTGCAACATTTTCTTTTTGGGTAGTGAAACAGCTTAGATGGCACATTAATAACAGGTTGAGCCCGGGTGCGACATGCTACTGAGAAATATTCATGTGAATTATATTTAATTGTCCCCCCGACTGCAAACCTCCATCAGAATCGCCTCAGTGCAGCACCACACAGTAATGACTTAATTAACTGGTTTATTTAGTGGTTAATCAGTTAATTAAAAGCTGAATAATTGGGTTTTTAGGGCTCGAGGGAGAGAGGACCTGGCAGACGGGGGAGAGAGAGAGAGAGAGAGAGAGAGAGAGAAGGAATGCTGGAAAGGTGATGACCACAAGTAACGTTACGTAATCGCAGTCACGATGCAGGAAGGAAAATTCACACACTCATCAGTCATTTAAAGTCACATCAGAATTACGGTGTGATTGTACAGCCATCCAATTGCACGCACTACTTTACTGACAAGAGAACAGGGAAACAGTTGTAGATTACAATCAGGAGTGCATTCATGTCTGCATGTGCACCTGTGATATTCTGAGTGAGTGCCGACAGGCTGCACGCATCCTGCGTTAGTGTGACGTTGTTAGGGACTCTGGATTAATCCTATTCGGTGGGAAAGAAATTGGGCTGGGAAGTGCCAGCACTATTGGCCACTGTTAACTGTTACCTGCAGTCCCCTCCAGTTGGATTTAAACTTCCAACGGCAGCGAACAAACCATATTCTGTGAAAGTTACGATTCTAATGGGAGAAAAAAGAAAATTCCATGAGAGGACAATTGTCCAAAGCTGTCCATGAGCACTTTCAGGGATTCTATGTTTGGGTTTTTTCGATTGCGAAATAATATTGCTTTATGGCTACTTGATCCTCTCAGCTGTTATTGGAGGGTTTAGCATAACAGTGAATGCACATAATTGTGGCTCCAACATAAATAATCCCAATTACTTTGGAGATCCCTTCAAAGTCACATATTTGAAAAAGTGAAATTTTTTATTATATTTTTTTTATTATATTTTAAATATTGTAAATGTATTGAAGAGATGAATACACGCCGCCTGTATTGAGAAACTGTGCCTCTAAAACTCCCTTTGGGGTTGTGCAACATAATCTAGTATATCACGGTTTTACATAAAAAACCTTCTGAAAGTGTGGTCTGCAGTGACAGTGATTTACATCAGCTGGCGGGTAGTAAACGTTGCCCCATGCTGTTGGCTAGCAGAGATATTCCGTTGAAAGAGGCTGAATCACAGTGTTTCAGGCAGAGGATAAACAGGGGCGTATTCAGACAGACAATATGAACATGATTTCGGATGTAAAATGACTTCACAGCAGCTCTCTGTTCCTCAGGCTGTTAGACGCCTTAATCGGCCTCTATCCACCGTTTATATAACAGCTTTAGTCTTGTGTGTTTTCCTTAAATAGCAAAGTGGGACCACGACACATTTTTTGCAAAACCCTGTTGTACAATGAAAAAAGAAATAACCAAGCCTGTTAAATTTGTCCAAGTACCGCCTCGCAAAGCTGCTTTGTCCGTAGACTCTCCGTCCAGCCAAACTACACCAGGAAATATGATTTAACAATATGAAGGTAAATGTGTTTTCCACTTTTCTTGCACTCGCTCTTTAGGGCATTGAGGATGCAGCGTCTATGTGCGTGAGGGCAGAGGCTGCATCCTCCCTCCACAGCTCCGTGCATAACAGAGATGAGAAGACTCGAAAATCTCCTCCGTGCATTTTCCTCAACAATGGCAGCTGCTTTTTAGGAGGAAAGGAAGCAACAAAGTCATTGACAGGAGGTCGGAGAATGAGATGCGTTCTGGACAAATGAACAGGCCCGAGCCGTTTGTCTGAATCCACTGCCATCTGCCGTCCTTGTCCTCACTTTGTCCTTCACTGACAAACCCATCCTCCTTCCTATCGGACTTAAGACCCAACACAAGCCTTTCTTGTTTGCCCACTAGAACGCTGTTAAATTTCGATTAATTTTGTCGAGCTGCCGTTCCATGGATGGGAAGAGATTTGAATGAACTGTGGTGGAGGAGCACTTTTATCAGTTTTTAATTGGTCTGAATAAACTTCAAATTTCAAAGATTATGAAGGAGCGATGGATTTAAGACAAATTAGTTTTACTTCCAGGCACGTCAGTTTAATAGATAATGTCAACCTACTGCAAAAAAGCAGTGTAGTGCGTGTGTGTGTGTTTTGGGGGTGGGGGTTTACTTGAACGTGTCTTTTAGTGTTCTGTATAGCGGCCATACACAAATTAGGCCTGCATGATTATGCATATGTGCTGCATATATGTGTGTCTTTATGTTTTGTGCAAGTAAGTTTGGGTGGGCATCTGTGAGCAACAGACAATGACTCAGTTCGTTGCCAGCGGCATTAATTGAGTCATCAATTAAAGACGTTAATGAGTTTGCTTAATGAGATGAAAACCCTGGTTATGTCCCTGACGTCAGCCTCACCAGACGTGGGCTGTTCCAACCGGGATCAAGTCAAAGTGTTTGACGCTGTCTTTCCGTCTTCCCCTGGTTTCACGCGTCCCTGCGCTCTGTCCTGTGCTGGCCGCAGACGGTGGGACCATGAAGACCGTGGTGGCACTGCTGCTGCTCTGTCTGTGTGACCCTGGACAGAGCGACTGCCAGGCGGACTGCGTCTCCTGCAGCAACATGCTGCCTAGACAGCTCAGTTTCAACCCCATGGTGAGGAGTCCGCACACACGCACACGCACACACACACACACACACACAACTAGATTACACTCTCACAGTCAAAACCTTTTGTTTTTTTTAAACCTTCCCCCGCACCACCTTCGTTCCCCCCGTCCTGACTCAACGCATTACCCTTCTGCCATTTGACTTTTAATTTGTTGTAGCTAATTGATTCCTGAGGATAGATGTGTGTTTCGCCCCTCAGCGCTTCTGCCGGGTGGTTGTTTCTTTCCGGATAACAACATGTCAGCGTCTCGGGTGTTTTGGCTTGTATCATAAGCGTTCAACCATTAGAGCATATTGTTAGGCAATCAGATCACAGTCGTGATCCTTTTGAATTGGACATAAATAGCTTTGTAAAACACAGGATGCTTAAGACGGATGTAACTTGACCACGTACTGAATCCCTTTCTTCTTCTGCTTATTCTAATTCTCTCCTTCATCTTCATCCGTCCCCCTCGGCTGAAAGGCATTTCATTTATAAATCAATAAGCGAGCAGGGCCTTGATGATTAGTTGGCTTCATGGAAACCAAAGATGATGCTCAAGGCGATTTTATTTTCAAAGCAAAGGTTTTTCATCCATCAATCTTTGCTCTTATTCGGTACATAATAATAAGATGAAGGTGAAACTCAAGCCAGAAATCAAATCAACTTCCTACTTTCATATCGGGTTTTGTGTTCCACTCAAACAATCTCAATCCGACATTTTGCCTGCAAATATGTAGTGTCTTCATTTGTAGATGGAACGTTAAATCAGGTAAGTCCAAGACCCCATCAATGCTCACGACTGAGGTAAATGTCGACATGGAAATGGTGTGGCATGTCTGCTTCGTGTTACCACTGCGCTGACTCCACACAGAAAATGAAGACGATGTCTTGTCTTCGTCTCTGCACAGGTGTGTCTCACTGAGTGCGAGGCCGACGTCTCCCCCAACTTCTTCTGGGACTTCTGTGGTAAAGTGCTGTCATCTCCAATTTCCACCCTTGCGGGTACCATACAGAAAAGATCTCGGGAGGAGGTGGAGGCCCTGTTTTCTGAGGAGGAGGAAGAGGAGGAGCCGCTGAAGGAGGGTCTGTTGCTGCCCTTTGCCCCGCAGAGGTACAATCCCATGACCCGGGCCCTGGGGCTGGATGAGAGGCATCAGTTGAACACTGCCCACAATGCCCCGAATGCCCCGTCTCTTGAGGATGAGTACGAGGAGGATGCAGGGCAAGAAGAAGGAGGAGCCACTGACATGGCAGCAGGAGGACAGGACGGTGCAGGGCTGAGCGTTTTCAAGAGGTTCGGCGGCTTCGTCAAAGGGAGGCACGGCTACAGGAAGCTGATCTCTCCTGGGAGATTGTACCAGAAGAGGTACGGTGGCTTCGTCGGCATTCGGAAGTCGGCCCGCAAGTGGAACAACCAAAAACGTTTCAGCGACTTGCTGAAGCAGTATCTGGGGAGGAGCGCAAAGGCCACTGAGCTCAACAGCGTGTCAAAGGACCTCGACCAGCAGAATGAGGTTTAGCAGACCTTTGCGGCACTAACACGAAACTATGATATGCTCCAATGTCAAACTGTAACCGGCGTCACCAAAGTCTACCGATTCAAGTTAATTACCAAAAAGTGCAAACTAAGCCCGTAATCTAAGACTACCATCGCAAGCCTCTTTGTCTCATGACATACGCGTGGCCGCTTCTGTTTTACATCCTTTTTAATTATGATGAAAACTATTACTAGACCTTGATTTCTACATTCCCAAGAGGATAAATGCTCCAGTAGAAAAAGAAAACGCTCCTTCTGAGTAAGGACACTAAATTTGGGGCTCCCATTTAGTGCCACCATGTATGCAACATGGTTCATTTGAGTATCTGCCAAGCCGCGCTCCTCCGACGCTTTGAAGGAAGGGGGATTTACAGTACAATATAGGCTCTGATTTACAGTTTAATGTGAGCCGCTAGGTTAACGTTGGCATAATTATTTGCTATTAAAATTCCCTTTATATAGTTTGATTGCCTAATTAATTACTGTGCTGGGTCATGTGTTACAAGTGCTTCATCTTCTTAAATGTAGTCCTCTACCTTTTTTTGGGGGTGGGTCATTACTGTTGACAGCATGTCATTGGTAAAACCGTTCCTTACGCAGTCTTTTAATGGACAACACCAGTGTTTTTTTATGTTTTGCCATAATGGTTAAGGCAATGCTAGCAGTAATGTGATGTATTATGTATGTGATTTGTGGTAAATAAATGCAAAAAGATGGAAAAACTCCGCTAAAGGGAACTGATTGATTGTGCCAAAACACGTGTGAGACGTGGCTACTGAGACATGTTCGATGAAAAAAATCTCTTCTTCAACTGGTGCGACAGTGAAGTGAAAGATAACACAGCACTCAATACTCGTACGCGTATATTCTACATTTCTGTTTGCCAAACGGATGTGTTGTACAAGTGAGCATCATCTCAGACCTGCTGTTGTGTCCAGATGCCAGATCTCTGTATGTATAAATTATACTGAACTTTTTCTTTTCTTCCAACTGTAATGGTGTAAAATGTTGCTAACATCGATAACTTGTAAATAGCTCAACCTAAACATTGTCGAATAAAAATAGTTTACTATTTCTGTCTGATTCTGATTCTGTGTCTTGAGGTGTTTTGTTCTTGGCGTTTGAATTTACAGCTTGGCCAGAAATGGGGGGTGATGAATGTCAATCTCTCAACTTCTCTTCCACACATTACGGTAATGCTCATCAAATGATCCAGTGGGGTTATGACGCCCCCCAGTGGCAGTTCTGCATGCTGCACCTTTCCCACAGTGAGTGGAGGAACAATCTCATTATGATATTCTGTATATAGACATGTAGTATGTTTGCTCCTTTAATAGTTTCCTTCAGCGTTAAAGGAAGGAGACTCATTCAACATGTTAAGTAAAGATGGAGACGCCACAGTTTAGTGCACATACACATTGTGAAGTGTTCTCAGTTTCCCCGATGACCTTAACGTATCTCAGGTAGTCAACAGGCCCACTAATGAATTTTACCAGTAAATTAATTCTACGATGATGGAATGTTTCTTTTTCTGCATCCCGCGGCAGAAAGGCTTCATTTTGAAGGGTCGAACCGGAAGTGTCAGTCGTGATTAAAGCTAGTTTGACATTGCCTCGACTTCTGTACCCAAACAAGAGTTTCTGTCACATCACCGGTGTCTACAGCCGCCCTCCACATATCGTAACGTCTGGACTTGGCTGATTCGGTGAGTTATAAAGAAGAAACGAAGCGCACGGTGGACCTTTAGCCGACCTAGCTTACGCCACAGCGCTGCAAAGCCACCGTTAGCTAGCCGAATATAGCCGAAGCTACGAGACGCTGGCTAGCCACCAGTAACACTGAGCACAACTTTAACCATGCGACCTGTTTTAACACGGATTCGTGTAAAAGTCAAGCAACACGTTCACGCGGGTTCACTTCGGCTACACCTCCTTGACGTGACACCTGAGATAAAGTTAAGACAATTGACAGATAACCTACTGACGCACTGCAGCTAAAGCTAGCAATGTCGCTAGATGGAGAACTTAACGTTAACGTCAAATGATTCACGTTAAAAACGGCCATTAAGCTGCAATATAATCGTGACCGCTGAAGGACCAGCGCGGCTTCTGCAGCGTCACTGCATCTCAGTGTCAACGTGTTATAACGTCACGTTACTGTAACGTTGTTAAATGTCAACCTGCGTTAGATGAGCCGACGTCGTCAACTCAAACCGTGGCACGTCTCCTAAAATACGGCTAGACTATATATAACAAAAAAGCATTTGCACCTAACTCTTTATAAATAGCATGACCACATATTGTCCAGTATTCGTGTGTGTGAGAGAGCGCGCTTGCGTGTGACCGCAGGAAGCGCAGCTATGTGCAGCTGCGTGCGGAGGTCCAGGGCTCTGTCCCCGGCTCTGTCCCCGGCTCTGCTCCCCCGGCTGCTGCTTCTGCCTCCGACCGGCTACCGAGCGGCCGGCCGGGGACTCTCCACCTCCCCGCGCCGCGCGGCTGTGGCCGGCGGAGACTCGCAGCCGCTGCCGCTGCCCGGACAGGCCCGCGTGGTGATCTGCGGAGGCGGGATCGTGGGCTCGTCCGTCGCCTTCCACCTCGCCAAACTGGGCTGGAGCGATGTGGTGCTGCTGGAGCAGGGCAGGTGAGAACTGATGATTGTTGTTATTATTATTATTATTTTTGCTGATAACATTTAGATGTGGGGGTCTTAGACAGTTGTCCACAGTAGGAGACAATGGAGGGGTGTACGAACGACAACAAGAGTTGTTGACTGGATGTTGCTTCTGGGTTTCCTGTTGGCAGGCTCGGTGCAGGAACCACCCGGCTGTGTGCTGGCATTGTCAGCGTTGCCAAGCCTATTTCCATCGAGTGTCAAATGGCAAACTACTCCAATAGTCTTTATCAGGGCCTGGAGGAGGAGACCGGAGTCAAAACAGGTCCGCCACTTTGATGTGTTTCACTTTCAGTCTAATTTAACTTCTCCTTATCTTAATGGTATTTGGAAGAACTGTGCTAATTAATTACCATACACATTTCCCAGATCTTTGTCTTCATGAACTATTTTGTTAATATAAGGAGCATTTGCACTAGGGGATATTTCAATGTCTAGACAAGCATGCATTAGCTGCAGAGTCATAGCATTGTATGTATTTGGACTATTTGTATTGTAATTAGTTAAGGCAGCTGAAACCTGTACACAAGGCATGCACTGTATTTGTTATAGAAGCCCTGGATTGTCTGATGTGGCTCACCATAACATTTTCTCTATGTTAGAGCATGATTCTTCCCTTCCGTGTTGAGTTGCATAATCATTTTGGTTGAACATGTTGTTTTGTGTCTTTCAGGTTATGTGAAGACAGGGTCTCTTTGTTTGGCTCAAAATCAAGATCGCTTCCTGTCTCTGAAACGCTTGGCATCCCGACTAAAGTAAGACCCTAAAAGCTCCACCAGACATTTAGTGGAGGAACCGTTGGACACGTGGTTTGATATGCAGAGCCTTTTCTAAATATAGATACATGTTAGCGTCCTCCATCTTTGTCTCCTTCGCTTTATTTCTAGGGTAATGGGGATCAGCTGTAACATCATTAAGCCCAAGGAGGTGGCCAAACTCCACCCTCTTGTTAACATTCATGACCTGGTGGGGGCGCTCCACCTCCCAGCAGATGCAGTGGCGTCTTCCCCGGACGTGAACCACGCCCTGGCTGTGGCTGCTGCTGGACATGGTGAGAAACTCAAACTGATTACTTGTCATTGGTAGAGCATTAATGGACAATTGTAATTCCTAAATGGTACTATTATTATTCTGTTTCTCTGTCTGGTTTACCTTCTCTTTATCGGCATTTCCTTTCTTCCATCCACCACTCTTTGTTTGCAACTCAGGGGTTCAGATCCTGGATAGAACCACGGTGCAGCAGGTCCTGATCGAGAAGGGTCAAGTGATGGCGGTGGAGACTGACCGGGGCTCCATCGAGTGTGAATATTTTGTCAACTGCGCTGGACAGGTAAACAAATGTAGGACTTCGATGCCGACTAAGATCATGGAAATCTTTGTGACCATTTAGAATCTTAAACTTAAAATCTGCCTTAATTCCAGATCTATCTTGATTCTCACCTACATAATGCTGATAGATATGAACAGTATGACTGAACAAATTGACTTATAGGACCGATTGCAAAGTCCCAATATGTGTGTGGTCAGAGCGGCAGATATAAATGTTTGTCCTGTCTGTCTCTGCTCCAGTGGGCTTACGAGCTGGGCCAGGGGAGTGAGACCAAGGTGTCGGTTCCTCTTCACGGCTGCGAACACTTTTACCTCCTCACCAAACCTCTCCAGGACCCCCTTCCGCCCAGCACGCCAGGTCTCTTAATAGAACAGTCACTTGTTCTTTCAGCTGGCACAGTGGCAAACCGAGTTGAATGGATTCTAAACCTTGAGCCAAATATGATGACTGATATAGAACTTTTACATTTTGATTGTTTTCTTTTGGCAAATTGGCTGGTCGAGGAAGTAATTGCACAGTTCATTAATTCCTGCAACAATCATCATTTGCTCTTCAAAGATGTAGTTCATAACAGCCAATGACACAAAGAAAAGCCCGATGATACGCCATCATACTATAATTATATAAAATATTGATTGACAACCAAAAACTCAATTGAATTAATAGTTTCTGGAGGGAAACCTGTTGAAAAGCACGTAACTTCCCTTAATTGTTGTGTGCAGGTTGATGTGTATGTTTTAAGAGGATAAAAAGGCGTGGCTAGTTTTTCATTGGTCAGTTCTCTTTCTGGCAGTACTGCTCGGCCACTTGTACCTTTTTTGTATTGATTGATAACGTACAGTCACACAAGACAAGATCTCACCGAGAATGTGTCTCGTCTCCAGTCGTGATCGACATGGACGGCAGGATGTATGCACGGCCGTGGCAGGGCGGCCTTCTGTCGGGGGGCTTTGAGAAGAACCCCAAACCCATCTTCACCGAGGGCCGCAACCAGCTGGAGATCCAAAACATGCAGGAGGACTGGGACCACTTCGGTAAGGAAGGGCGCACCGGGAGGAAGGTTTTTTTTTTTTTTTTTTGACAGACCGATAAATTGAGTCGAGGTTTGAGTCATTTTTTGTAGCAGTGACTTCGACCCAGCGTCTCTATTTCTGGAAACGTGTTTCTCAGACCCGTCCAGCAAAATATCTTTCCTGTGCTGATGAACCCAGTTTCCTTTCAATTTGCATTTTGAGATTTTTCAGAGGTTAAAGTTATGTTGTTCAATTAATTATTTTAATATAAGTGTGCTTCATTGATTGAAACCAATAGTCTGACTCACTTTGAAATGCTTTTCATTTAGGCGGTGCCAGTTCAGAGGACACCTCACACATGTAAACACACACGCAGCCTCACACCTGTCTCTTGACCGTGGCCGTGTGCTGGTAATCTGAGATTCCTCACGCAACTTGACGGGTTGTAAAAACAGCCGTAAATCACCAGTCAGCACTGAAGTGGAGCAAGGCCGAGACTCCAGCTAATCCATCCCAGGGGGCTCTGGTTTTAATTATAGATTATCAACCAATATGCTCCTCCCCCGCTTACCTCCTTTAACCTCAAAATTGTTATTATAAATAGACACTTGAGAAATGACTAATGTTTGCCCTTTTCTCATGTTGGGTCACAAGTCTCAAGTATCATATTATTACCAACAGAAATGCACCACATCGTTAGCATGCATCGCCAGCATCGGCGATGCATTGTTACGCCGCGCTGCCACGCTGGTTTCAGCTTCCATGGATTGATCCTTCGCTTTCTGAGTATTTGCATTAGTGGATGTTTTGTGAAGGGTAGTGGTTGGCTAAAGGTTATTTAGAGCCAGCTCGTGTGACGTTGTCACTTGGCATTGGACAGGACGGGTCGACCAGCAGCAGCTTTACTATTGTGGCAGGAAGCAGTTTATGGGAAATGTGCCGCTGGCGTTAAAACGCTGGCACAGCTTTAGGCCAACTGTTGTCGTGGTCATGATGGAGTTTGTGTATTTTATAATGTGTGTTTTAAAAAAGAAAATGCTGCACATTGATTTGGACGCCTCTCCTGTGCTTCCAGAGCCGATGCTTAGTTCCCTGCTGAGGAGGATGCCCAGTGTTGAATCGGCTGAGATCCACCAGCTGGTCAACTGTCCGGAGTCCTTCACCCCCGATATGCGCTGCCTGATGGGAGAGATTCCCAGCGTGGCGGGCTACTTTGTGCTGGCAGGGATGAACTCCTCTGGTCTGGCCTTTGCTGGAGGGGCTGGCAAGTAAGCGTGGGTTGAAGTTAGTTAGGGGAAGCCTAGATTACTAACAGACCACAGTACTGCTCTTTATTCTACACCCAAAGCCATTGTTTGAGGGGACGACAGGAATGAATTCAGCCTGGGTTTGTGATGTGGTTCCGCTGCGATCGCATCACAATGTAGCACAAACGGCACGACGTGTGCTTTGGGATTCAGGTACCTGGCCGAGTGGATGACCTACGGCTACCCCACCGCCAACGTGTGGCCACTGGACATCAAGCGCTTCGGCAACCTGCAGAGCAGCCGAACCTTCCTGCGACACAGAGTGATGGAGGTCATGCGTGAGTAGAAAACTTTGAATGTTTAGTTGGTCTTGAAGCAGCCGCGGCGTGGTAACATTCCAGTTTAAATGATGGGAGACAAATTTAAATCTCAGACAAAACAAGTTGGTATCTTTCAATGTTTTTTGCATACAATCTTTTACTTTCCTTTTATCGCAGGCGAGGACACACTGGTTTATTTTGTATATCAAAGCTTAACTTTGGAAAATACCCACCTGATTGAACAAACTCTCACTGCAGAACTCTCATATTAGCTTGTGTCGCACTTTGGATACATCTTTACATAAAAATAAATTAGTGGAATTTGAGAGAAGGAACAATTAACCGACAAATATTTGAAAGTAAGTACAGAAAACTGGATAACAACAGCTTACACAATGAGATATAGCGTGTTCTGCTTTGGCCTGATGGTTTCTCTCGACGTGTCTGCGTGCGTGTTTGTTTCCAGCCTTGCTGTACGAACTCAAGGTTCCTCGCTGGGACTTCCAGACTGGCCGCCAGCTGCGGACCAGCCCTCTGTACGACCGGCTGGACACGCAGGGAGCTCGCTGGATGGAGAAACACGGTTTTGAAAGGCCCAAATACTTTGTTCCTCATGGAAAAGGTGCAGAATACTCACCAGCAGCACACTACCGTTTCTCTATCCTAAAGCCCATAACGTGGGTGTATATATATAATATATATATATATATATATATATATATATATATGCTGTTTACAAACCTTTTTCTGTGTGTGTAGATTTGCTCTCTCTGGACCAAAGCAAGACTTTCTACAAGCCGGACTGGTTTGACATCGTTGGAGCAGAAGTGAAATGCTGCAAAGAGGCCGTGTGTGTCATCGACATGTCGTCCTTCACCAAGTTTGAGCTGACTGTGAGTGCCGACGTGCTGGTGTGAACATCTTGTACTGGTTTAGCCGCAGTGGTACTTTGTGTGTTCAGAAAGTAACTTCTCACCGTACATGGCATTTTATGATATGTCCCATATCAAGCAGGAGCCACTGATTCAGCCGTTATGTACTCGGTGAGTTATCCACTTTTGCCTGGTCATTTAAGTAGAACCTGTTGGTCTGTCCTGATGTCCCAGTCATCGAATGGCCAGGCGCTGGAGCTGCTGCAGCATCTGTGTGCCAACGACCTGGACGTCCCCGTCGGACATATCGTCCACACCGGCATGCTGAATGAGAGGGGAGGCTACGAGAACGACTGCAGCGTCGCCCGCGTCAGCAAGAACAGGTTTGTAACACCGAGGCACAAGTATCTAGAAACAAACATTTAAAAAAATAAAATATATATATATATATTTTTTTTCCATTCCATCTCCAGCTACTTTATCGTCTCGCCGACGGACCAGCAGGTCCACTGTTGGTCCTGGATGAAGAAACACATGCCAAGTGACCCACACCTGCACCTAGAGGATGTCAGCTGGAAGTACACTGGTAAGCTGCAGTGGCAACGGCGCCATCTAGTGGCAAAGTATCATCCCACAACCTCTCTCTGCTCTTCGCCCGGTGTTTCTCATACGGTCTTTTGGGGTTTGTTGTTGCAATCAGACCCACATGGCACAAGGAGGGTGGTTAGTTACATGTCCAATATGTAATTTGCGTATTTGTAATGGGATTACCATAATACCACTAGGCCTACAATCTTTTCATTACAGGAGAGATAAAGACAGATTTGGCCTTGCAGAGTGTGTCCCCACACTAACGATCTAAATGATCATTTAGGGTTGAATTAAATTAAACTTACTACAAAGTTACAGAAATAGTGCAAAACATATTTTCTGTTTTTTTTTTTTTTCAGACTCCTCAACAATTCATTTACATTTTCAAAGGGGGATATTTAATTATTTTTTTTTGTTGAGATTTTCTAATAATAAAATGTAATTATTAGGAGTTATTGAGGCAGTGTTTTGTCGGACAAAAATAATAAAGTATTCACTATTAATTCTTTGCCCACAGCTTTAAATCTGATTGGACCTCGTGCAATGGATGTTCTGGCTGAGCTGTCCTATGTTTCCATGACACCCGACCATTTTCCCTCCATGTTCTGTAAGGTAGGAAACACAAATCTAGTTTCATAACGGAGTATTTGATCACAGTGTTGATAGCAGTGGTACTAATGGTTTGAGTTGCTGAAATAGTTGCAGCGACACCACTTAAGACTCCACCCGTGGTTCTATCAGTGTTGCTACCCGTATAATTGTTCATACTCTGTTATCAGCCCTGCAGTGAATAGTATTTAACCATGTGTGTGTTTACAGGAGATGAGTGTCGGCTATGCCAATGGGATCAGAGTGATGAGTATGACTCACACCGGAGAGCCTGGCTTCATGCTCTACATACCTATCGAGGTGCGTCGCCGCTCACATCTGCACACCCCGCAAATCAAACATGAATCCAGTCATTCCCCAGGGTTGCTGGTACGTGCTTGGTGCCGCACGGCGCCTCGAGCGTAACGGTCGTACTTCCCTCTGCCCTCCACAGTACGCGCTGCACGTGTACAACGAGGTGATGTCGGTGGGTCAGAAGTACGGGATCCGCAACGCGGGGTACTACGCGCTGCGCAGCCTGCGCATCGAGAAGTTCTTTGCCTTCTGGGGTCAGGACCTGGACGCCTTCACCACCCCGCTGGAGTGCGGCCGAGAGTTCAGGGTGAAATTTGACACGGTCAGTGGCCAGTTGAGCAAACCGTATGGTATCTGCCGGCGTTGATACAAACTGCCGCGTTTCGGGTCCCAGAAAGCCTTTTATTGAGCATTATGGTGTCACTCTGGTTACGCTGTGACTTTACCAACCCGATTTACTATTGAAGCTTCGGAAAACGCCTCGAAGCAATTCCTCTACATCCTCTAAGTCCATGTGGACTCGAATGTACTATTTAGAGAGTGGGCCCAGGACTCCATATGCCGAGGAGGAAAATTTCACACACATTTCTAAGATAATAAAAAAAAACGGCGGGGGAACATTTTGGACAGACGGCGTTATAAACGGCTACTTGTTTATTACCGCGGTAATTCAAGTTTTACTTTTACACAGCCGGGGGAAATGAGGAAATGATTGCGGGGTAATGAAAGGCACTGAGCCATCTGCTTCGCCGGAACATCTGTTAAAACTGTCAGCGAGGCTGCACCTGCAGGCACGACAGGCGGCACTTATGAAAGCAGCAAAACATCAGGTGTGCTGCCGTCTGCCGCACACAGCAGTGATGTCCATGCGGTATTAATGGCCGCACCTCGCCGTGTGAAATCGGTTTCCCAGGTTGCTTTCAGGTGAGTATAGTTACCACAATGGGAGCTGGTTTAGTGGTTCTCCCAGCGGGATTGTGCGGCGCTTGCAAATTGTTTGTCGACCGTCCCCCGCAACACTTTCATCTCCTCCTCCTCCTCCTCTCTGCGCCTCCTCCAGGACACGGATTTCCTCGGCCGCGAGGCCCTGCTGCAGCAGCGCCAGGACGGCGTGTCCCGGCGGTTCGTCATGCTGGTCCTGGAGGACCACGACACGGAGCTGGACCTGTGGCCGTGGTGGGGCGAGCCCATCTACCGCAACGGCCTGCTGGCCGGGACCACCACCAGCAGCGCCTACAGCTACACCCTGGAGCGCCACGTCTGCCTCGGCTTCGTGTCGCCGCCGCCGGGCCCCGAGGGGCTGCCCACGGCCATCACCCCGGACTTCATCAACCGCGGGGACTATGAGGTGGACATCGCCGGCCAGCGCTACCCGGCCAAAGCCAAACTCTACCCCTTCAGCTCGCTCTTCACCCAGCAAAAGCGCCGCAAGGAGGACATGGAGTTCGGCAACCTGCACGGGAAGTGATGATGCAGAGCGGTGGCGGGCCTCGCTTCCCCCCCCCTGAGCGGTTGTTCTGTGACACCCGTCCTTCGGTCCACTGCTAAACCCAGCAGCGCCAAACATTTGTCCCCTTTTTAACGTCTCTTAACCCGAGAGGGGCGATGCGCACAGTCACATTTCAGTGAACTTGTGTCCAACTTCCACGCTGCACATCTCCCGTTTCTTTCTTTTCAAAAGTGCAATATTTAAGAGGCACTAAATGCCCCGAGCGGTTTGAAGCACGGCAGTGCAGCAGAGCTCCGGTTTCCAGCACCTTCCCCGCCTCACAGTCCGCGCCGGTTCAGTGCCTTTTGTCGAGGCGGCGTCGACAACATTGGCCGGGGACACTTTGTTCACTGGACCCCCGCCGAGGGGGAGTCGAGACAGACAATCGTATCCGGCAGTGTTCCGGCCGCTGTAACGTTTGGAGGGAAACGTTCAGTTTCCGCGTTGGGGACCTGCTGCTGTAAAGGATGCCTGTGATGTGATGTGATGTGTGAGTCTTTATGCCGTCGTCTCCACTGCGCCGTCCTTCCTCAGTCAGGGGAAAGAACAGGGCAGCCTCATCATACCAGTAGTTAACCAATATTTACTCCATTTGAAAGGTCCTAACAGGCTAAATGAGCTCTTTCTTCTTTCGGCCGCTCGACTTTGTCTTTTCCAGCTGTTATTCTGCTTCCTGTCGAGCTTGTGGAAACTGTGTTCACGGTTATTTAATCCGCACTGTTATTTATGTTTTGTGGTGGTTTCGATGCTTCATTGAGGTTTTGCTGAGTGTGCTGGTGTCAAATGACCCATAGACAAGAGGAAGCTTTACTTAAAGCCGAGTCCACATATCTTACGTTAGTCATTTGAGTTTCTTTGTATAGAGGAAGGACTTCAGTGTGATTTTGAAATAATAAAAAATGTATTTTTCTACAGCTATTGTGTATAAAATCTCTCTTTTCAGTTCAGGATCTTTTTTCAGCTTTAAGTAACATTGAGTGAATGAAACATCTGTAACTACGACAGAGGTCCCTCCCGTCAGAGGTCAGAGGTCAAGGAGAACTACAGGTCAGCTGTGCTGTGGCTGGTTTCACTTAGCAGCAGTGCAACATTGGATTCATCCAGGAGTCGTATTCAGATTGTTCTACTAAACAGAGCATTGGGTAATACACTCGAGGAGGGTTGCTCACGCTAAAAGATAAAATCTTTTAGTGTGCATGTTGAAGATCAGATGCTGAGGAAACAATAACAGAAAGCCTGTCTTTTGATCCGACTTTCTTCTTTCAATACTTTGCTAACATCTCCGGCTTTTTCACCCGACATGTTAGTTCCTGGTGTATAACGAATGAGATCAGAATGGATTCAGAGTCACAACGTTTTTTAAGGGCTAATTTATCGTTCTGTAAGATTGAGTCCAGTAGCTGTGATTCAGGGCGAAGACGTCTGAAACATTTCACTGCAAAACACCTTTTGTTTTTCTCTCCTGAATGTATGCTTGAAGAGGAAGTGTCCCAAACCTTTGCACTAAACAAGAGGAGCGTTTTGTATTTTGTTACTTTCTCGTGCACAGAGCTGCAAAGAGCGGAATAATCCAGTATATTTAAAGTAACAAAACGATGAATGCTACAAGTTGAATATATAGTGGAGGTCTGTCAAAGTCTGTTGTGATGCTTACTAATCTGAAGTGTGTTGAAACTTTGTTATGCTTCTATTTAAACTCCACCCGTCCTGCACTAAACTGTAAATGCCAGCGTTTTCTTCAGCTTTACCATCACGTTAGCTGTGCTTTGAGAGACAAACAAAGAACTCTGATAAAATCGGTTTTGTGTGTTCACTTCAGATTCGGGAGTCAAGGGTCCAGTCTGCACGGCTACCGGCTGTGTCCCCTCCACGCACGCATATGAGCGTCAGAGAGGCACTCGAGGGTCACGTGTGTGTCAAGAATCACAGGACGGAGACATTGGCACGCTGCTCATTAATAACGCAATCTGCAATTATTTACGGGAATTTACAAGTTATGTGAGATTCAAGCTCGGAGGCGGGAAGGTTACACAACAAAAAAAAAAACGTTTATTAGCAAATTACGACACAACCACTTCCTCCTGGTGCATTCTGGTCGTGGAGGGGGACAGGGGTGAGGGTGGGGGGGAAATCATGTCCTCCTGGCTTTGCGTGGGCGGCATCCATTGTGCGGCACGGGCGTGTTGTCTGTGATGGAGATCACCTCCAGGCCGCCCATCGTCAAGCCTTTGATGGCGGACTGTGTACAAGAACACAGTGTTAATGTTGAGGGGCCACAGCGACTTGATCCCTTCCCATTGATAATAAAAACAACTGAAATGAATGAGATCTTCTTCCTTAGTGCAGAAACAGGTTTGTCTGAGTTGCACTGCGACTGTTAAATTAACAAGCTCATTATCTCATGTGCTGCCTGTTACTATCTGATGAGAATTGCTCAAGCAATTAACTGAGGATTTCACTGCTTTAATCGGTTTAATATTGAAGTACTTTTTGGGACTTTTGACAAGACACCTTGATCACTGGCGATCACTTTTTCATAATAATTCATAAACATAATTTTAAAACCACATTCAACATTTCTGAAAAGGTTGAATGAGGGTGTTTTTTGGGGCCTGATGATTGCACTGATCACAAGTAAAAAAAAAAAAAATAGGTTTATCTGCTCACCAGACGTCCAGGACCGAGACCTTTGACCACAACGCGCACAAACTTCACTCCCTTCGCTGTGGCTTTCTGTTCGGAGGAGGCAGAGTAGATCAGTCAACACGAGCAGCCAGCCGTCAATCTGACTCGCCTATTCAGAGCCGCTGGAGAAGCGTCGTTTGGTAGAACTCCAGCATTGGGAGTAGAATACCTTCCATCTTTTTATATTTTGGAACAGCAGAATTAGAAACTGTTTTTTGTGGTGCTTAAACGAGCGTTTGATTACTGCCACACACGCACCAAATACAGCTTCAAAATGGTGAGGATTTGTTGTTTTTCTTTGTCAGCTTTCAGTCACACAAATAACTTTCTTGGCATTTTATCAATATTTGCTGACCAGCGCAACCGAACAACCTCAATTCTACTTGGAGAATGAATTCATGTTTTCATCCGAGCTTTCAATCGCTAACACAAACAAGTGATAAAGCTCCTATTAAATGTTATTTCCTCATTTTATTTTCTGCTAAAAAAAACAGCAGATCAGGGGTGTATTTACCAGTGTGACCTTAAGCCCGTCAGCCTTCACAAATCAGATTAATAGAAAGTCTAAATGAGCGCTAAACAGCCACCCACTGCTGCACTCTGTCACACTCCTCAGTGCCAGCAGCTTACCTGCAACAAACGTTTAACATTCATCATAATTAGAGTGAAACTCACTTTATTATGAAGCGCCTTAAACCCTACAGCTCATAGCTCACAGCGGATTAGCTCAGTATTGGAATCCATCCTCCCTCGGATCTTGTTAAACAAGCTCAAACAGATGGAGGTGGTGAACCCCTTCAGTTCATGATGAGACGGTGTTGTGAAAGGCTCAGAAAGACAACATTGAGGGAACGTTAACTCAAGCTCCTTAAAGGATGCGGCAGCAACCCCCTTTTAACATTTTGGTAGATTGAGAGTTTTTTTATGGTAACTCCGATGCCCAAGAGGAATGTATCAGAAGGGAGATAAGAAAGGCTAATCTAGATTTTTCTTATTAACTAATACTACATTCTTTAAAAAAGTCCCGCCTCCGTGGGTGTCACGAGTATCAGACGAGAACGTACCGCGGCGGCAGAGATGCCCGCCGTCTGAGCGGCGATGGGCGTCGACTTCTTGATGTTCTTGAAGCCCTCCGTTCCGCAGGACGTCCTGACCATCGACTGTCCCGTGCTCTCCGTCAGCTGGATGTGTGTGCTGGTGCAGGACAGGACAGTTTACGTCGTTGGGCTGTTTTCAATGGATTTTTAACCATGCTTTGGTCCAGTTGGGGAAAACTACCCTTTTTGTGGCATTAAGCCACAAATGCATTGACTTAGTCCACTAGGAAGCTGAAATAAAGCTAAACTTCTGGTTTGCACAAATTCGAGCGATTTAATGAAAAATGTAATGTCTGCAGTGAGTAGCAGATAATAGGTGCAACCAATAACATTAATGCTGTTACAGCAGTTATTGTAGTGCAGAAATCAGGGATGTTTTTACTTGCAATCGTATGTGAGAGGTCAGTACACCGGCTGTAAAAATGATTTACCCAAAAATATCCCCTATAAGAATTACAATGATCCTAATAAATCACTTTTGCACTTACTTGTTGTATGTCGCTTTAACGTGAGCGATTGGTAACTCCTCAAACTTTTTTCCACCCCATCTTAGTGAACTCTCCTCACCAATTATTGGAGGGAAAATGCTGCAGGATTACAATTTAGATCAATATCTCATCAACAGGCAGTCAGCGAACAGATACACGAACATGGGAAAATTCAACAAATAACCCAGAATGATCCTTTCAGTGGACGGACATGCAACAGGTGTAAATGTTACACAAGCATGTGTTGGGTTGTCTGACCTTGAGTCTCTGGAGGTCTTCGCAGAGCTGGTGGTGGATGCTGCGGTCTCCTGACGTCTGACTGCACTGGTGCACAGTGTTCTCTGCAAGCCGATGCTTTCACAACTGTAAACACACAGTGGCACCATCGTCATAAACCAGTGTGGCTTAGCAAATTAGCTAAAAACTACTTACTGCCGCGATCAAAACAAGTGTCTTTTAGCCATGACGTGCAGTGTTGTACAAAACCACATATAACATTCAGCACGCAGCAGCCTGACTTTACTAGAACTGTTAGCCGTTGGCTAACAAGGATGCTAGTGAAACATACCCGATGAACACTTTCGCAGAGCTTCCGAATGCATTTAAGGAGCCCGACAACTGTCGGCACACGCTACTCACAGAACTAACCAATACGCTATTTAATTTGTACATATTTAACATGTTTAGATACAAATAATTCGCTGTCAGAAATGTTGCTACTTCACACACAACAAATGTGACATTGAAGGCCTGACCAGATTATGGATATATTACATTTTCGAGGGTTAGCAAGTTAATTATTATACAATGTTAATCATATATACTACAAATACAGCTTGTATTTGTCAAGCCGATTGCATAATAGTGACGTAATGATCACTAAAATAAATCTCTGTTGTAAGTATAATGAGATGTTTGCGTTTAAAAAGTACATCAATGTCAGCGCTTACCTACACTTTAATGTGAATGGACCGTTCGACTTGCTGCAAGGAATTGTGGGTAGAAGTTGACACACGATGCCTTCATGATCCTAGTAGATCGCCGTAAATATCAAATATTTTATTCTAAACACCTACTTGTTACCTTGAAATTACAATAATTCCAATTGAACCGTTTGCAAACCGATAAAGTGTTCCATTTTTCCACCGCAGGGTATAACGTGGTTTAAATCTACTTAAACGATATCCATGACTTCAGGCTATTTTCCCAATTAGGTTCCAAATGTACGATGTTCTTGGATAAACTTTAATGTAGCAAAAAAAGATGTCTGCGCCCGGTAGAAGGATGGCGAGTGTAACTCTCTCACATTTTCGTTCTTGCTTTAGCAGGACAGCAGTTGGGAGCGCTGGGTTTCGTCACTTGTCCAGCACTTCTGTGTGTCGAGTGACTTTGCAAACCAAAAGTGGAACGGAAAAACCTTCGTCTCCGTGGACTCTGATGGCAGCCGTGTGTCTGCAAAGGCTTCCGGTCATTTCAGCGGACTGCAGCCCGATAGAGCAGCAGTTCAGACAAATGATGCAGCGGGTGAGTTTATTCAGCACGAAACAGACGTTTTGACTGTGACATGAGGTGTTATCGATGCCATAGGCTGCAACATGTCACCACATTTAGCATCCGAATACTTTTGAGGCAGCAATTTCGCAAATGTTAAAAACACATTTACAAATACAGTGTGATCATGATAAATAAACATGCATTGGAAAATCCATTAGACATAACCCATAGTTCGAATCTTAATAAAACCCGCTTGCATTAAATAAACTGACATATGCAAGTTGTATGCCACTTATTACTAGTGACATTTGATTTGATTTGGAATTCTCTTGAATCTTCTGGGGATTCTCTTGAAGGCATTATACGGTAATGAAGATGATGTAACAGTGTGTTCAGTTTATTGAATCAATTCAGATTTTGAAACAACGTGTTATGATCAGCTTCTCCTGTCATTAATAACAAAGCTGTCATTTCTATCCCATGAAATCATTACAACTGTGCAGTCAAAAGGAACAAAAGCACAAAGTATACCAGGTACACTCAAGTTTAGCAACCTTTATTTTACTTTTTATTTATTTATCATAAATGATATATAAATGATATCCTGAAATGAATTATTGAAATATTAATGTTACCTGAATGAATAACAAAATGCCAAACAGCCAAATGCGCAAGCATATCAATTAATTATTAGGTCATATTAATGTGATGTACTTATTGTGACAGCAGCTGTGGAGTAATGTCCAACCACAGAACGGTATGAGGTAGATGACAGGCCCACTGCTCCTGTTGTTACATGGCACCAAGCAAAGACTTCTAACTCGTTGCGGGTAAAATAGAGGCACGATAAAGGGTCCCAGAACGTTAGATGGAGACCTGCTCCTACATGGCTTTCAGATGGAGCTGGAGAAAAGCCTGCTGTCGGACCACGAGCTGCGGCTGCTGGAGGACTCTGAGAGGATAAGTCGCAAGCAGGCGGACGATTACGACTCGGATGAGGAAGAAAACCGCGGCGACCAGGAGATCGTGCTGGCTCAGGACCTGGAAGACTCTTGGGAGCAGAAGCTTCAAAAGTTCCAGCCGGGGCTGAGGGTCAACGGTCAGTATGGGGACAAAGTGTCCACTGGGGTGAACGAGTATACCGGAATGCGTGTGGTATATACGTTTACTTAAAGGGACAGTGGGATTTGGTGGCATCTGGTGGTGTGGTTTGGCTGCTGTAGCAACGTGGCAGAACAACAGGGCTGAATCGGCGGAGTAGGACCGGCTCTCTAAGTAGATATAGATATATTTTTATAACATAACAAAAAGCCAACCACTATTAGTTTCAAGTGATTTTTCACGAATAGAAACATAGATAAGAATATCATATTCCACCTCGGCTAATAGATCGACTGGCCCTTCAAAGATTACAACCGCGAGAAGCATCTGATAGTATTCAGTCTGCTCCAATCGTTAACCAAGTGAAACAGAATGGAAAGTAAATTGAAATAACCTGACGTCGCACACGTGTGAGTTTAAAGGAAATTACCAGGACGGAAAGAGACTTGTACTCCCTTCAGCGCAAGACTATCTTTTCGCTCCAGCACTTTCAATTTGCATTTTATTTCCCTCTTTTGACATTTCCAAAGTTTGTGTAAAATCCTCGCGGCACAGCGGCGAGGGAGTCCGAGCCCGTTCAGTGCCGGCTGACGCTCCTCTCTCCTGTTTAGCCGATGCGGATGAGGACTTGACCTCGTTGGAGCGCTGCCTGGCCGACCCGCTGGTCCTCGTGGCCGAGCAGCAGGTCGGCGGCGACAAGCTGTGGCTGCTGCCTCAGACGCGGTGGCAGGAAGGAGAGACGCTGCGGCAGACGGCTGAGCGAGCCCTCGCTTCCCTGCCAGGTAACGATGTTTTTTTTTTTTAGGAGGCTCATAAAAGGTTTGAATGATGCTGCAGATGTTTGTTGTCTTATATTTCCTCCACTGTTTTTAAACCCACATTTAGCCAAGTATTTAAGCGCGTTTCCACATTCTCTTAATCATTGGACACTGAAACTCCACTTTTAATACAACACAGGGAGACATACCAATAACTAACAATGAAATACATTTAATTTGTCATTAAATGATTATGTATGAAATAATAAACATTTAAACCCAAATGGTCCCATGTACAAACATGTGCATTTCATTTTGACCTATGAAATTGATTAATGAGCTGTATCAATGCACTAATGCTACATAAAATCACTGTTGTGATAGCAACCTGATACCTAATTATGTTTTATCCTCATTTTAACCACGACAGCATTAACCTTTACTGCCTTACCCATAATTTACGGTCAATACCGCATCTAGGAAATTAAATATTAACTCTAAATAAAAGGAAACCGAAGCGTGAGAAGGACGCTGCGCTGAAAATGGTTGTAATATGTTATGATTACCCTCAAAGTCGTTGCTTACGACAGCATATAAGGTTCCATCCATATCCTAAACATCGGCCATTATGGGTTGTTTTATTGTCTGCACGCTCCATTTGCTGCATTATCACCGTATCTAAATTCAAATCTCTTTAGCTGTCATGACCCAGTTTCATCCTCCGGATCATTAAAGTTTGATGCAATCTTATCTGGAATAGCAGCGCGCTACTCGCAGCGCAACCGTCCTTCAAAGCCTCCAACCCGCCATCCAGCTGCATCCTGTCACATCTGCACTTAGGCCTCCACTAAGGGAGGCGGCGCCGCGGCTCACTGATCAGCGGCGGTCAGCAGATGACGGGTCGGACGTTTGGGGTCACAGCTGGCCAACAGCAGCAATGATCCGTCGCACCAGATGTTAAACATTCGCTCCACCAACATCTCTCCCTCCCTCTCGCTCTCTCTCTCTCTCGCTCTGCCCGGACGGAAACAAGCCTTTTTAAGCTTGTAAGTGTTTAAACAAAACGCCGGTGACTGAGCCTGTTAAACTGTTCCACAACGCCGCTCATGAACGATTAATGTGCCAACTCCATCAATCACTCCCCATTAAGACTTTCCACTTGACATTAACGTTTGGTGGAGTTTTTTTTTATTTAAAGTGCCTCACTGTGGCCGAGGTCGATCCATTTTTAATAGAGCCAGGCGGGCCTGTTAACGCGGCCGCGCCGGCGCCGTCCCCCGCACGTCAAGGCCGGCTAGGACCATGAGATTAAACCAGCATAAACTCTGGAACATCTGCACTTCAGCTCCCCTCCAGTCTCCAGCCTGACGAGCTCACACGCTGTTTTTGTCTCCTCGCAGCGGCCGGCCTCAAGGCGACTTTCCTGGGCAACGCCCCCTGCGGCGTCTACAAGTACAAATTGCCCAAAGCCGCTCGGACGGAGAGCGCGGTGGGAACGAAGGTGTTCTTCTTCAAAGCCATCCTGTCAGACGGCGGCGCCCCCGCAGCACCGAGCGCTTCTCTCCTGTGGGCGAAGAAGAGCGAGCTGCAGCGCTACCTGAAGCCGGCCTACATGATGAAGGTCGAGCGCTTCGTCCTCGCCCTGTGACACCCGGACATTGAGCGTGGACACGGAGCGATTCTTTGTGAGACCCAGGAAGTTCCCCGTGTAGTTTATCTGTCGTCTCGTATCATAAAGAGTTCTTTTGTTCGATACGCGTGTTGTATGAATGCATTTGTTTTGCCGACACACATTGTGGAAGCTCCAAGTTTGCAAAACCCTCAGACGTCTTCTCTGCCTTACATGTCTATGTAATATCTATTCTCGAAATGAAACCGGAATTTTCAGTCCATAAATCTGAAAACAGCGGGTCCCTCTTTTGCAAAAGATGCTCAGATAGTTCAAGCTCATTCAAAGTGTAATTTTTAAATAGTAAATATTAAAGTAAATTACTCACAATCCCCTGCGCCTCGCCCCAGTAGCGAGTCTGAGGGGATAAGGAGCCGTGTCCCAATCCCATGCACGTGTCGTCACAATGAGCTCAACATGTGCTGTTTGTCATATACAACGATATCGGGAATGTTGTAAGATTTTACTCTCCGCTGAAGACATTATAGCGGTTTACTGCCACTGTTTGGGCCCGGCAGCCCTGCGGAAGGTGATCTCTGGCTCTCCGGCACGTGCCCGTTGTCCAGCAGCAGATGGCAGTCTTGGCACAGGAGGAGGCCGGTGAGGAGCCCTGTCATTACGCCTGTGTGTGGTGACCTCAGAGGTGGACTGCAGAGCGGGCTCTTCTGATCAAGTTGGCTGCCTCTTACTCGTACTGAAAATATCCATCGTAGCGGGCGGATGTTCCTCTGCAATAGCTACGATAATTTGTCTTGGGTGAGAGCATTGTGATGTTCCCGACAGCCTCTCGGATCAGCCTGTTCTTTCTATTTGTGTCTGCAGGGACAAGGGGTTATTAATGTTGGAGACTTTGGCTTTAGATTTTTTTTCCGTCTTTATTTTTTCGAGTCTCGGTGAAGGTCCTGAACGCCGGCCTGCTCCGTCCGTGGAGATGTGAAGGTCAGGGGTAAAAAAGGTAATAAACGCCATATCTAACTGTCATGGCCTTTATTATCTGACACTTTGGTCTGCACACAGAACCGGAGCTTCTTCTCCTGCCGCCCTCCGTCCGGGTTACGGTCCATGCGACAAATAGAGGTGCAATCGCGTGTGCAAAAAAGAGCAACAGCCCCTGCTTTCATCACCGAGGGGAGTGTGATGAAAGCGTCCTGTCCCAGGTTGTAATGGAAGGTCTAAGAGGATGGGGAAATTGGCTGGCGATCAGAAGGTTGTCAGTCTGAATCCTGCAAGCAGGAGGCAGGTTAAAGGGAGCGAATGTAAACAGTGCACAGTTACTGTCGCTGAACTGCTCAGAAGGGAAGACTAAAGGAGAGAAGAGACGGGAGGAAATAACTCAAGAAATGCTTCTACCAATAAGTCCAATTAACAGTCTAATCTGAAGGAGCTTTGCTCTTCCGATAACGTCCTCATTCAGGGTCCAGTCGAGATGCATTGTGGGAAGTGTTGTCTCAAATGTCGACCATTATCTTTTTCACATTTGGCTGGTTACTCCCCCCAATTTCATAGAATTACCTAGAGGACTTTTAAAGGGAAACGGTTATTTGACCGAATCCCTTCTAATGATACCTCACTATAGTCAAGAGTCTCATATTCTAGAAACATGTAATAAATTCGTCTCCCAGCCAAAACCAACCAAAAATGTACTATATCCACTATTTTTGAGAGCCAATTATACCTGATATTTGTGCATCAATTAGGAAGAACCGAAGATTGGTCAAGGTGAAAGAAGTAATCCTGTTGAGTTTACATCCTGCGGTGCATCTAATCGTTCTCCAGCTGTTAAAACCACAACACAACACATGCTGAGGATGACTATTCTCCACCTGTCACCTAAAAAGAGGCAAAGTTTGGCCTGATATCACCATGGGACTATTCATTTTAAAAGCATTTTATTCATACCAAGCCAGAGTACAAATCTTCTACATTGGAATCTGAATGGCGAAATAATTAGGGATGCTCTGACTGCAATCAGGAATCCCCGGCAAAAGAAATAAAAATAGGCGCCTTGCCACTGTCACAGGCCACATGGCTGCCGACAGGTCGAGGTAGAAGATCACAGCTTCTTACCTTCTCCTCCTGCCCGAAGCTGGACGCCACAGCCTGCCTCTTCGTCCAATTAGAGAGCACATCACAGCACAGGGATGACAAATGTCAAAAGAAAGGTCTTGCAGTTCTTCGGCACTGGTAAAGGGTAAAAGAGAGACTGTATGTGGAGATTGCGGTGCGGAGGGACCCTCGGACGTATTTCAGACCCCCCTCCACCCCCCCACCCCTGCAACAGTTGCACACAGTAGAGGATGTCACATTCACACTGGCCTCGTTCTCTTTGGGGATTTGAAACTGATTTTAAAGCAGCCGCTGACACATTCTGAACCTTATTCTTGATGATCCTTTGAAGTTCCATGCAATGAGTGAGACCCTGCCAGGCTCAGGGGCTCAGCTCCATCACCGTGTCCCGATCTAATAATAGCACACTCACTTATGCCACTGCCGGGCCCCGTCTGGGCCACAAGCACAGGACCAAATGACCAACTGTATATTCTCTTCAGTGTTACACAACATTTCTATATAAATATCTGTGAAAATCCGATCCCCTTCCTCAAATAAACCTCCTTTGCACACTGCAACCCCCCCCCTCCTTTCTTTAATTTTATGCAAATCTATCACCGGCAGGGATGTAAGCAGGCCGGTCATCCACAGCAGCTTACCAAACATTTTTGCTAAAGGAGCTTATTAAGACTCTTTATGTAACGTGTAGAAACCTGCAGGTAGAGAGGAGTGAGGCTCAGTACGAGGCTCCTGGATCCCGACCAAGCCGGACCACCTTAAGCTCCTCAACCACCGCCCTCCTCAGCTCCACTCTCCCAGCATGCAGCGCTATCATACGAACACATAATCATCCAGTGACAGTCAGCTTAGCCCACGTGCTTTTCAGCCCCTTCTTGCTTCGCCTTTAGAGTTTTTCTGTTATATTCTCTATTCAAGCGCGTTCCTGCCCCCTCGCCATAGATTGGATTAAATCCATCTTCACTGTCGTTGCACATGGGACGTGCCACAACCAACATTTGACCGGGCAGTGCGATCTGCAGTAACTGTGTGGTCGGTAACTTTTCGTGCTGCCATCTAGCAGAGGGAGTGCGGGGGCCAGAGGGGTTGTTTGCTTAGCTTGTCATGTTGTTTGTTATGTTGTTTGTGCTAGATAGAACGTTTCCGTGGCTCTGGAATATCAGCAGCCCGCTGCGCTGTGGATTGATGAGTCCACGCCGCTGTCCGTGGTGCTGGATTATCAGACATTTCTAACCACAACTGTCTTTCTCTGAGCGCCGCTCCGCTGTCAGATTTCGTCTTGGATCTGTAATTTTCTTTAAAGTCGGCACGACTGTATACAGAAGAATATAATGATAAACCGTAACTCCCCAGCACAACCAGCCTGCTTGTGTTGGCAACCACACTGCCCACAACTCCTTTATAGATAACAAGCAACAGTATGCTGGTATCAAACAAAACAATCCACCAGAGTAAAAGGGAAGAAACGTTTGTGGAAAAGATAGGCTGTAAATAAATGTTTGTTTACAGGACTAAATAGGCAACAACTGTGAAAAAGCAACCTCAAACTAAGCACTTAATTGAGAGTTTAAAGTTAGGGTTGGTACACAAATGATGTATGCTTTTGGGAGAGTATCAATAGGTTCATCATGACGCTGTGCTTCAATCAGATTAGATTAGATTAGATAAACTGACCTCCACTACTGGAAAGGAACTTCACTAGAGCGAAACCCTTCCCCCAGAACTTTCTACTTCTATCCCCGCAGCCATTTTATAACCTCAGGGCAACTCGTGCGGGAGAGCAGAGCCCTTAAGGGCCGTGTGTGGAGACAATGGCAGACACAGCACCTGCTGCGCGGCTGAGGGCTTTGTACCAGCCAGGTAGGCCGCCTGCAGGAGGACCCGCTGTGTTTCTCAGCGCCCTGCTGTCCTCGCTAACGACCGTCCCTCTGCAGAGCATGAACTATGTTTTATAAGCAGACGGTCAGAGGAGAGTATATTTACCTGAATGTAAAAGCCCGGGTGGCATTTGGTGGCAGCGAGGCGGATTTGATTGTGAAATTTATACATTTGCTGATATCAGTGATGAATGGATTTTGTTTTTGGACCATTAAGTTTATGTTTTTTTCTCGCATGGTTAAACTAAAATCACTGTTCACTGTTCGTGATTACGTTTTTGAGGACCCAAGGTTTAGTGTTTCCGGATCTACACGACATAGCGAGTTTGCTGTTTATTACGGGAGGAACCTAATTACGTCCTGGCTCGCTCCTGTTGACCACTGATGGACCTTGTTTTGGTCAGGATGTATGTAGATGATGGTCAATAGTGGGACACAAATCATTTTTGGATCCCATTTGAACCGTGCCATGAATCGTCCCACACTTACAATGTTTGTCAATTAAAAAGATGATTTTGCACGCCAAGTGTTATAGCGTGTGATAACATGTAGAGGCTCGGGCTCTGCATGGTGAGAAAGACATTATGGAAGTTGCATCTCTCGCTGAAACATCAATGCCTGTGTGTTTCCTTGCCGGATGTACTCACACAACTCATCGTCCTCGTTCTTTCGCGTCAAAAAGCGTCACTGGATAGAAATGTAGTTCGCCGAACAGTTTCACACAAAACTAACATCCCTGTTTCTTAACTCGGACTGTTTATAGCGAACGTTCCAAGGAAACCCTTGATAAGAATGGCGATGTATGTAAACCAACGTTTGACTTGTTACCTTTCGAGGTAAATACTGTTTTAAGTATTAAAGTTAGCATTGCATTTGCTTGGGTCGGTAAATGGATGCTAATTGACAGCAATTAGCCGTGCGCTATCATAGACCCACCAATGGTAGACCTCCATCAAAACTGTTGTAAACTTTCTTTTTCGGGGATTTTCCCTTGTTAAAGGCCGGCCAAAATCACCTGTCACCGTAAATCTACGTGTCAATGTGACGTGCAGATTCTCTTTGGTCTGTTCCTGTTTAGCACAGCTCTGGTGGATCTGGTGTATTAGGATGGAGCGAGAGATTTTGTGTGTGATGTTGTTGGGATGAAGCAGACGTCCCTCCTGCTTCCTCCCGTCCCAGTTTCTACGCTGTAGGAGAATGCTGTGGTGCTCCACACCTCCGCCTCTCCTTCCTCATCGCCTTCCTTCCTCCCATTGCTCCTTTCATCCCTTCATCCCAAGCCGTGTCTCGCCCAATCGCTTTCACTGTGGATATTTCATGGATATGCTTATTCTGTGGGGATTTTGTATTTGCGAGGTAATATATATTTTTATATAGTTTGACATTTATACAGTAAAACAATGGGGAAAACATGTTCTGGTTTTGTTCCCTTCAAATGTATTTCTTGATTCCACACACACGTACGCGCACACACACACACGCACACACACACGCACACACACACACACACACACACAAACACAGATCCGCTCACACTGTGTCTGGCAGGCAGACCTCCGGCCTGCAGGGTGAGTGCCCCTCCTCTCCTCTGACTGTCGGGATCTGCCACCTCCTTCCTATCCCCGGTTTTCCCTGGGAGACGTCAATCCAAAACAGACTGTTGGGGTGGGATGCATTGAGGGAGGGAGGGAGGGGAGGGATGAGGATGGACGGGTCGGGAACAGGGTGAGGAAGAAGGGAGTGTGAATGGACAGCGGGGGGGTTAAGGTCACATGATACTGTGCAGTAAGATGGCATCGTGTCAGGGGGCATGACCTCTCCACTTCCTCCGCCACTGTCACCCCCTCGCAGCAGCAGCCCCCCCCCCCCCCCCCCTCTCCTTCCAGCCATACAGCCACTCCAATTGGCCGCTGCGGTTAGCGGTTCACCGCCACCCACCGGGCAAATTGGAGCATCATCACACCTCCAAGTCACGGAGAACATATGGAAGGAAGGCTTGAACAAGTTCACTGGCTCGACACGGTGAATTAATGGGGCCACAGAGGAGACAGAGCCGGTTGATTGGAATGTGGTAAAAGAGCCGCAGTTGTAAGACAGCGGCCAACACAAAGTCAAATGAAGCCGAGTCAGATGAGTGGCCTTTAGATATTTCTAAATACAAAGCAGGAGAACCTTCACACGCAGTGCGTTTAGTGATTGGTAATTTGTCCGCAGCGGCCCGTGAAGGGCCGAGTCCCCTTCCAAAGACCTTTCTGATGACGATCAGTGGTCCCTGAGGGACTCCTGAACGGCCGGGCTTTGGCACCTGCTCCCGTCCGGGATCACGAGGGAGGAACAGCTGCTGCGAAAGGCTGGAACGTCTGGCAGAAAAGGTGGGAAAGTCAACGTCTGGAAGGTTGTCGGGGGAGAAGCAGGCGCCGAGGACCATGTAAGACGGCACAGTTATCGCTGACAGAAGCTGCAAACGGCGCGGCACACATCTCCCCGGACGGGGGAGTAATCTGCATCTTCAAAGTGCTGCCAGACAATCCTGCGATGGTGAAAAAACACAGAGGTTTTGATGGAAAGGCCCGAGGGAGCGGGCTAGTCTGCGTTGCACACTGCACGCATGGTGGCAAAAGACCCTTTTTCCTTTTTTCACTGACTGCCTACTGCTGCACTCAAACTACTTCCTCGTGAGGGAAGAACTCCTCACACACACACTTAGTCTCACTTCGTAATCTCCGTGGGCGGTTTACACCATCAGAGGCACATCGGAGTCATGAGGTCAGCAGAAGGTCGTCGGCGTCACGAGAAGTGAGGTGGCTTACTGTGAGGCGAAAGCGAGAAAAGATGTTTTTCAACCTCGTCTCTTGACTTGTAATGTTTTGAGCTGTTTTTACCAATCAGCAGTTCCCCCAAATACAAAGAGTCAAAAGCAAATCAGGCCAAACTTTCCTCTAAAGTCTCCCCAAACAAACCCTTCACCAAATTCTAGCTTACACAGCTGAGCCAGTTCTAATGCAACTTTTTAACCTGACATTGAACCTACACGACGTGCTAGAAAGCACTAAATTTACCAAAAAAGACTTAGGGGGGAAAAGCCATGAATGAGATTACAAAACTGTAATCTTTGGAAAAGTGTCTATGAGTATCTTCTCTCAACAGTTGCAATGATGTTGTTCAGCTCTGCCCGTTTTAAATGTCACTGGTTTACTTATTCATCAGCGCTGCAGAACTTGAAATGCTCCGAGGTGAAGCCACACCTCGGGTAACACGGCACGTCTACCAAAAAAGCTAAACTGCAGGCGTTTACTCCGCCTTGATGATGTTTTCAAACGTGGTTTCTGGCGATGTCGGTGTCTACTAGCTTTCATCCTATGATGCACTCTGCATTATTATAGTCAATGCTCTTCCAGCCATTTTTATTTCATTTGCCCTTGTCAGTACTTACCCCCTCTTCACTCCGATGGAGAAGTTTCCACAGGAGGTTGCTGAGCATACATTCTTAACAGAATCCCTTTTCAAATTAAATTTAAATGACCCCCTCAGCTCATAAGCAGAGGCTCTCCTGACAACTTAATTCATAATTCAGTGCTGAGCCAGGGCCTTGAGGGCCATAATGAGGGCCTAAATGGAGGAGAGATGCTACTAAATGGGCTGTTTGTTTGCGCCTAAACCTCTTTACGGGCCACGAGTCC